AAATAGTGCTATTTCACGACTACATTATTCTACTTTGCCTGCGAGTCTAGAATAATTTCATGGTAATGCATTAAGCAGAATTCCCTGCTCTCTACAACAAGACCAACCGCTTGTCAATACGATACTCCTAGGCGGAGATATCGGCTCCTAAACCTCCCCTTCCACATGCCTTACGCCGCTTCGCATCCACTTTATTCAGCTACCTACACGCGTCTAAGCATTGCTTCGTGAAAGTTCGGTTTTTCCGTGATAACTTTATGAATGAACGGTGCTTCGGTTATCATAGGTGACTTTCGGGGGCATCGCCTATGCCCTTATCTTCCATTATCTTTCCTAGCACGGCTAATGCCTGTCATGATGGAGCCGGCTCCATCAAGTTTTTACAACGCAGCTCAGTTACTATATGGTGTAGTAAGAGTACCAAATTTGGGCATGTGACATCAATTATCAGCGCTCCAAGCGGTGACAGAAACCGATAGCCAAAATGCTTATAGCGCGTTCACATGTACCGTAAAACCCAGTTTCAAACGCGTATCTCACGGACTCCGTACGATACGCGTATAGCGTGACCTTGAGTTAAACAGCGTTCACACGTAGTTTTGGAATTTACGTACGTCGCTGTACACAAATAGTGTAATATAGTTTATCATAGCATTATATTAGCATTAACTGTGTGCTGTTGCTGGTACCAGTATACGGTAACCCATTTTCGAAAACAAATTACATGTTTGTGACAGTCATTCTATACATGTCACAACCAATTATGCCACATTTATAACTTTATACATTAATTGGTTCAAGGATAGAGATGATGTCCAGGGGCCTGTTGTCAGAAACAAAATTAGTCTTAACAACTGTCTTAATACTAACATTTTCTCGTAGACCGTCGACAGCGCTTTGTTTCCTATTGTTATACGCGTATAGCTATAGCCATCCGCTATACGCGTATGCTATACGAAGTACGTAGGAAACGCACTCATTTTGTCAGGATAGTGATACGCGTTTCGAACCGAGTATAGCTGGTATACGTGGTCGTTCAGACGAGGGAAATTTATCGCGAGTACGTACGAAACTCTGTTTCGTACGCGTACGAACCGTGGATTTTGCTACGTGTGAATGCGCTATTAGACGCGTGTAGGTAGCTGAATAAAGTGGATGCGAAGCGGCGTAAGGCATGTGGGAGGGAGGGTTTAGGAGCCGATTAGCGCGTTCACACGTAGCAAAATCCACGGTTCGTACGCGTACGAAACAGAGTTTCGTACGTACTCGCGATAAATTTTCCTCGTCTGAACGACCACGTATAGCTAGCTATACTCAGTGTGAAACGCGTATCACTATCCTGACCAAATGAGTGCGTTTCCTACGTACTTCGTATAGCTATACGTGTGAACGACCGGCTATAGCTATACGCGTATAACAATAGGAAACAAAGCGCTGTCGACGGTCTACGAGAAAATGTTAGTGTTAAGACTAATGTTAAGACTAATTTTGTTTTTGACAACGGGCCCCTGGACATCATCTCTATCCTTGAACCAATTAATGCATAAAGTTATAAATGTGGCATAATTGGTTGTGACATGTATGCAATGACTGTCACAAACATGTAATTTGTTTTCGAAAATGGCTTACCGTATACTGGTACCAGCAACAGCACACAGTTGTTGTTGACTACATGCAATTTTTTATGCCATAAACTATAGTACACTGTTTGTGTACAGCGACGTATGTACATTCCAAGACTACGTGTGAACGCTGTTTAACTCAAGGTCACGCTATACGCGTATCGTACGGAGTCCGTAAGATACGCGTTCGAAACTGGGTTTTACGGTACGTGTGAACGGGCTGGATATCTCCACCTAGGAGTATCGTATTGACAAGCGGTTGGTCTTGTTGTAGAGCAGGGAATTCTGCTTAATGCAATACCATGAAATTATTCTAGACTCGCAGGCAAAGTAGAATAATGTAGTCGTGAAATAGCACTACTTTCCCGTTATTCCGTTGTACACTAGGTATTATTAGCTCTTATTAGTAGATATTATCAGGAGCGTATAATGACAAAGTCATTATACGCTCCTGATATTATGTATATCTAGATGATGAATAATCAAGACGCGTTGTTATTATTGTTTTTCCCACCGTAATCCCATTAGCACACGAAAAGGTAAAAAGGTAGTTTTTTTTAATGTTAAATTGTCCCTTTTCGCATTAAATTTTGCCACGTACAATTGTAGTTTCAATTTATCCCACGTTCCTTTCCGCTTAAAGCTAAGTGCGACTTTGTTTTGTGCAATGTCTACTTCCAATGTGTGAACTAATAAACTATAATAACAACTACTATTGTGTAATCAATATTATAAACAGCAACACACGAAGTCAAATCTTCCGGTATTTGTTATATATATATATATATTTATATATAGGCTTCAAAATACATAGTTCATTGCATACGGGTTCGCCAAGTATGAGTACTGCGCATGCCTCATCAGAAGATAGAGCCAGGTATATACCGTGCGCTGGGTGGGTGCTGGTGTGTGTGTGTGTCGGTTGGGGGCATGGAGAAACGTGCACGCTCATTCTAAGTCTGGTGCGCAGAGGAGAACGTAGAAAAATAGCAAGCAATTACAGCGCAACATTGCATAACCATGTCAACTACACTTACACAGACGACTGTACGGTAACCATGACGACATGCTAGTGTCGCGCTATTGGCAGTAGCACTGTTGCAGTGATTAAAATAATTGTCACCAGATTGCATTATGAGGCGACATAGTCCTCTCCCCCTGACGCAACGGAGTCACCATGCCGACTGCATGGGAGGGAGGGGGGAGTCATAACAGAGCCCCCCAACGAACGGAAATAACTCCTAGCCAAAAAAACCGTTGAATACCACTGACTACTCTTGTCTACGTATGCATTACGTGTGCAATAATGCAAGTTTAGATAAACCACACAAGCACAACCGCAGGCCCACGGACGCAGGCACACGCACATCTGCTTCCATACGATTCTCATCATGCTAATTGCTGACTCTAGATTCTGCCTAACAATGTAATGACGTAAAGCAAGCTGGCCGCGAGCCGGGGTAGGTCGTCAGCGGAAAAATTACGTCGCCGAGTATCACGCGCAGACGCGCGCGCGGTCGAACCTAACCTAGTAAAAATCACATACGCTAGGCAAACCACAAGGCAACTACTAGGAAGGGGACACTTCCACACGTACCAACACATCTCATCTACGCGTATTCTCATAACAATATACAAAATTCCAAGTTTGCTATACATTTCCAGAATTATACTGAGCCGCTGCCGCGCGACGTGTCTAACCTCCCTGCTCCGAATAAGATAGAAACAAAAATAATTAGTATTTTATTGTTTTAAAACAATCACCACTAGAATAATCATAATTATAACAAACGGCTGTTTTAGTCGACCAAAAAAATACGAATAACGGGCTACACGACGCTCTCACTGCCGTTTTCGATGCTCTATGTTGGATTATTATTCCACTGAAAGCGCCGCGTGTTTTTAAATTATTTATCATACGCACGAATATTATACTTATAAAAAGAAGGAACTCAAAGCGGAATGTTCGTCCCTTTGCTAGCGTACAACCCCAGAGCGCATCCAAATCTCCTACTCTGTGGTAGAAACTCACGTAGCAGCCATGTGAAGCACACTGTGTTGCAGTCGATGCACTCAGCTAGCGATTTCATTCGATTCGTATACATCCCCCAAGTCAACGACTCGCATATATATGATTCTCATATAGTGTGACAGTCAGCAGCACAGCAGGCTGTAATGGAAGAACTCCCCCGTAAGCTTGTGCACCCCTCCCAGCACCATTAATGCCAGCGTGCTGTGTAAATACTATCAGAGCTCACGCACAACTACTTACACCCTGCTTCTAATGTGAAACCCCTCACATAACAGTACGCCAGCTATAGTTACCGAGTACGTACATATACACATACCAGCAGAAATATGCATTTTTGGAGAAAATTCCCATCTACCATGATGATACCAGAGTGTTCGCGTAACAAACCCGCACACTGAGCAATCGCCATTCCAAGCACCCCCTGGCGGTGCGATATCCATACTGTTGTCGTTGACGGGGGGGAGGGGGTTGTCTCTCTCTCTCTCTCTTTCTTTCTCTCCCTCTTTCGCTCTCATCCCAGAAGCGCTCTGCGTCGTACGCCGTCCTGCGCAGCCACAGGGTCGCGGTGGCACACCTCAGTCCTTGTCATCCTCGCTGACGGAGTCGTCGAGTGTGCCAGTGCTGGCCGTGTCATCACCTGCTGGCGATGCCTTGCTGCGGTTACGCCCCACACTGAGGATGCTTGACCGTCCACCTCCTCCCACCCTGCAAGCACACGCATAGAGGGAAGGGTGAGCACGACACGTGTATAATGCTGTAAGAGTATGGATGGGAGTATCAGTAAATATAAGTATTATAACACCTCTCCTCGTCACTCACGTAAGATATACATCTTTTTCACTAACCTAAGATATCTCCCTCCTTCACTTACCTGAGAAATACCTCCTTACTCACTCATCTGAGAGATATCTCCCTGCACACTCCTGAGAGATATCTCCCTCCACACTCACCTGAGAGATATCTCCCTGCACACTCCTGAGAGATATCTCCCTCAATATCTCCCTCCACACTCACCTGAGAGATATCTCCCTGCACACTCCTGAGAGATATCTCCCTCCACACTCACCTGAGAGATATCTCCCTGCACACACACCTGAGAGATATCTCCCTGCACACTCACCTGAGAGATATCTCCCTCCACACTCACCTAAGACAGTTACATAAGAGATATCTCTCTACACTCACCTGAGAGAGATATCTCTCTACACTCACGTGAGAGAGATATCTCTCTCTCACCTGAGAGATATCTCTCTACCCTAGTTCACGCTTAAATGACACACACACGCACACACGCACGCACGCACGCACGCACGCACGCACGCACGCACGCACGCACACACACACACTCACCTGAGTTTGCTCTTAAGGGAGTTGATTTCGCGCAGCTGTGACTCGTTACCCTCCACCTGCTCGTCAAAGTCGCGCTGAAGTTTGCGCTTCTGCGCGTTGACGCGTGCCAGTTCCTCCTCCGCCTCATCTGCCTGCCGCTTAAGAGCCTTCACGCGCGTGTTTGCCTTGTCCACCTGGCCAATACAGCAACCAATCACACGTCAGCAATCGGTCGCATAGAGAAACACTATTAAAAAAGTCTTTTAACAGTTATCTAATCTCGAGAGTCTGTGATTATTCGGTGGCAGCCACACACCAGCAGCGGGAGCTTTGTAAGCAGCTGAATGTGAACAGGTGCTGCTATGCGGCTGCTACGCTCGTGGACCACGTACTATGAACATTCACAAACTCTCGAGATTAGATAATTTTTAACAGCCAGTCCGTTAGCAGTCTGTGGTGGTTAATTCCTGGCAGTCAGTGTATTTTTCAACGGACTGAAATTAGCTGCTAATTTGGTCCGTAATAGTCCGTGGCTCTCCGGGCGTTTTGCATCATTCATGTGTTTACGTGTATAATTACGTGTATGTGTTTAGTGTTTAATCCGTTTATTCCAGTTCATAGTGATAAGCTCAGACTAAATCACACCACACACGAGACGTGGTATGCCAAATGAGATGTGGGATACGAGAAAAACGTTCGTCTAACCACAGACCAGTAAAATATACTTTTCCAAGATTTTCTCCAGGACGCTTAAATTTTACCAAGGACACCAAGGACAATGAGTGTCAATGACACTGTAGCTCACCTTGGGTGTGATAGCAGAGGGAGGGGGGATATATAAAGCAAGAGTATACATGGGAGAACTCCTATTATATAGCATATCTCCCATTATATACTCTTGATAATGATATATGCATAAGTTTTGATGCAAAAATAAATGTTTCAGATCTGAAAGTCTGAAATCTTGACGAGAGATGGCGCTTTATGGCCATTTCCATTTTTGCCAAAAAGTGGACGTGGCTAGAATGTAGGTCGACTGGCGGGCTCCAAAATAGGACGTTGAAACCTCTTCCATAGGAGTAACAACTATATGCAATTTGAAACATGTGGGTCAAACAGTTGAGTTATCGTTGACCGTAGCCAAAAGTTGACAGACGGACGGACGACACCCCATGGCAATAGCTCATCTTGACGATGTCAAGGCGAGCTAAAAATGAGACCAAGACCAAATGAGATGCAACAAATTAGGCACTATTAAACCGATTATACATATTACCTATCAAAGATACTGTTACACAAGAACTTAAACGATTTACAACTCATAAAAAATTCATTTTTGTAAGAAATTATGCTGGATGAGGGGTGGGGGGATCAGGGAATACAAGATTGGATCAGGTGGATATGAGGTAGGATCAGGGGGATAAAAGGTTGGATGAGGGAAGTGGGGACAGCAGGATGTGACATTCCAGTACCTGCTCTTTGTACTGATCAGCATGCCGTCGCTCATCCTCTGCCTGCATGATAGCTTCCTTTAGTCTCTTCTCTAGCCTTCTGTTCTGTCTGGTCGCAGTCTGCCGCTCCCTGCATATTACAGAAGAAAGCACGACATGTAGGATGAAGGCAGCATGACTGGTAGGGTGAAGGCAGCATTCAAGAATATAGTTGTGCCAACTTAATTGCATTCTTATCCATCCTCACCACACCACTTGCAGCAACACATCGCACCAACCCCTGCACCCCCAGTAACCATCACAGCAACCACTGCACCCTCAGCCATCCTTACAGCAACCCCATGCACCCTCACAATGACACCTGTACCCTCAGCCACCCTCAGCACAACCCCTGCACCCTCAGCCACCCTCACAATGACACCTGCACCCTCAGCCACCCTCACAGCAACCCCATGCACCCTCATCCACTCTCACAACGCAACCCCTGCACCCTCAGCCACCCTCACAGCAACCCCTGCACCCTCATCCACTCACACAATGCAACCCGTGCACCCTCCGCCATCCTCACAATGACACCTGCACCCTCAGCCACCCTTACAGCAACCCCATGCACCAACAGGCACCCTCACAATGCGGCCCTTGCACCCCCAGCCAACCCCACAATGCGACCTACTTTGTCTCAATCTCGAGCTGCTCCTCAAGGTTGCCGATCTTTGTCTCGAGTGTCGCGATCGTTGCCTTCGACTTGCCCCGCAGTGCCTGCTCCAGCTCCTCCAGCTTTGCCTTCAGCTCCTTGTTCTGCTTCTCAAGAGCGAGCCGCGCGTTCTCAGCCTTCTGTGCCGTCGCACGCTCAGAGTTCAGCTCAGCTGACATCTGCTCCACCTGGTGGAAATAAACGGAGGCATGTCACACGTTGGAGTGCGTGCACAGGGACGGAAACGCATTACATACTGGACTGCATGTGGAGATGAAAATGTGTAATGTGTAATTGCCAGAGATGAGAACGGCCCCGGACGAAATCCGCGGGATATATTTCTACTTACTGGTAGAATAGCGCAAAGTGCTATATTGCGCACCGCAGGTGCTAAGCACTATTGGGGGGTATGGGGGTCCTTTTAAACTCACAACTGTTGTTTTCCTCCTCCTCATCCCCGCGCTGTAAGCTTTTCACCTCCTTTTTCTCAATAATGAGGTGTGCTCCTGCCCCACCTGCCCTCTGTACCCACCTGCAGGTTGCTTTTGCGGTTCTTATCCACGAGTAGTTCCACATTGTTCTGTTCTTCCTCCAACTCTTCCTCAATATCCTGCAGTTTGCTCTCCATCGACTTCTTTTCATCGGCAAGACTTTGCCTGTCGTAAAAGCATGTAGGTGTGTACGTGTGTCTGTCAGATTTTACGCAACATTTTACGCCATTGCTCACATATACTACCTCGCGCTAAAATTCCCCTCAGTCCCTATTACAGGGACAGGTAGGCGGACCATGGTACTGTATTATAATTTATAGTAGTTTGGCATCTCTCACTCTTTTACTCTTGCTCTCTCTCTCTCTCACTCTCCTTCTCTCTTCCACTCTCATTTACTCTCATTCACTCTCTCCCCCACTCGCTGTCTCCCTCTCTCTCTCTCTCTCTCTCACACAACACACACTGTATCTCTTTCACTCTCACCCCTCTCTCTCTCTCATTCTTTCTCTCACTCACTCTCTCTCTCTCGCACACGCACACGCACACGCACACGCACACGCACACGCACACACACACACACACACACTCTCTCTCTCTCTCTCTCTCTCTCTCTCGCTCTCTCGCTCTCTCTCTCCCCTCTCTCTCTATATCTTGCTTACTTGGCCGTGAGGGCGCTGGTCAGCTCCTCCTGCAGGTCATCACGCTCGCCCTCGGCCACGCGCCGCTGCCTCTCCGACGTCGCCAGGTCCTCCTGCGACTGCAAGATCTCCGCCTCAAGACTCTTCAGCCGCTTCTCGTTCTCGCGGAACTGTGCCGACATGTCGTCGCGCGATTGACGCGCGTCCTCAGCCTCTCGCTGCAGCTCCTTCGTCTGGTTCTGCAAAGCCACAAATACACACGATGATGACACCAGCGCGAGGGTTGTAGCAACGGCTACGCGGACAATGTCGAATTAAACAATGACTTACACGACAATGACAATAAACATGAGAATGATACGACAACAAACACAAACGTGCATGAGGGCATCGCGATGACGTCAGTGTAACGGCCGCAGTAATGATTATGACACGATTAAAACAATGACAGCAACAACAAGGTAATAAAATAATGATGAATACGCCGGAGAAAACACAGATTTATTCAGTTAAAACAATAATTTGTATTTCACAATCGTATATTAAACATATGTTAAACCGTCATAAAAATGGTTTTTAAATAGTCATGGCAAAAATACCATAATAAAAACCATAAAAACTATGAAGAACCACCCATGAAGAATGATGAAGAAACATGAAACATGAAGAAGCATAACAAAAACCTTATTGGTAAGATCATTTCAATAAAATAATAATCCAGAAATAACTCCAATTCAACTAACAAAATTTTTTTTTAAATAAAAGCAATAAAAGAGCACCCAACCCACACCTACCACTTTGCCAGAGCGTTATCGCCTGACAGGTGGCGTCACCTACCTGCAGTCGCTTGAGCTGCTTGACAGCATCATCGCGGACCTTGGTGGCCATCTCGAGCTGCTGCTCCACTGCGCAGATGTCACCCTCTAGCTTCTTCCTCGCGCTGACGGCCGCCTGCCGCTGCTTTCTCTCATCCTCCAGCTCCACCTCCAGCTCTCGCAGCTGCCGTGAGTGAAGAGAAGCAGGTAACGACCCTCTCCCCAGCAAACACGATGCGAAACCACTACACAGGTCCCAAGTCCACTTCAATACATACTGCTAATTTTTTTCTCTATTCTGATATTGTCACCATTTTTCTCTGATACTAAAGTAGTAGTAGCGACTGTGTAGTATGAATGTTAAAACTTCTCGTGGATGGCTCGTTAGACTGCCACCACACGACTAACCTGTTTAGTGAGTGCCTTGCGCTTCTCTTCACTCTGCTCGTCGCGAGCCTGAAGGTCCCTCTCAAACTGGGCCTTCATCGCCTGCATGTTCACCTCCAGTCTGAGCTTAGCATCCTCGCACACCTGCAAGCAGATCCATCGCATCAGCACATTAAATCCTCATGTTAATCTAAAACCAATATTAGAGCAAATTTATGGGCCCTTTAATGCAGGTTTCACATTATTATTTATTGTACATCAACATAACTCACGTCCGACAACATAACATTAAATGAAGTGTAAATAGTATATCGCAATAATAATTTATAAACCAAAATGAATCACAATTTGTGACGGTAGATGGCGCTATACCCGCTTTGATGTTTGCTGTTATGCTGCGTTCCGACATGTTTTGTAAAACTTTACTCTAATATAAACGTTTTATCGGCAGGGTAGAGAGGAAATACCAATTTTACATTAAACATGTTAAAGATATTGTCAATGAAATCTTGTAAAACGAACCCAGACGAATGTGACACAACAGACTGTTATCTGCGTGTCTATATAATATGCTATATAATTGCCAAAACCTACCTAATTTGCACAATTTTTTTTTTAAATATCAAAACCCCTGTAATACGTTTTGGGGCCAGCCCTTATTCATTCACATACCAAAAATGAGCAAAATCCGTTGAACCTGAACTGACTAATGGCAATTTCCATTTTTGCCAAAAAATTGCCGTGGCTCGAAAGTACGTCGACTGGCGTGCTCCAAAATAGAACGTTCAAACCTCTCCCATAGGGTTAGGTTTGAACTTCAACCAACTTCACCAACAACTTCACCAACAACT